TTTTAGGGTGCCATTTATGTAGAAGGCTCTTAGCACTAACAGCACCTCAATAATAGCACTTAGCATTCATAGTTCTAGTGTCGTACATATTTCAGGCGTATAAACGGGGTTCCATTATATTGATGACATTCTGCAGCCCCGTCTTTATCTAAATATTCAGAGTATATAAAAATTCATTGTTCAATAAGATAATGACCAGAGATTTATCGCTTAGCTCATCCTGAATGCTTTGCAGTGTATGCAGACGGTCAGCAAGCGTTTCCCAAACTTCTGATTATTATGGAATTCTTATGACAATGTTCGAGCTCTAGGCAACACCAGTGTCTGTATAACAATATTTTTTTACCATTATTATTGGAAATAAAAAATAACTTCCATTTTAGTCGTTTATTCGAAAAAAATGCAAATACATGCAATTGTTATAATTCTTAGTACAGTTAGGCATATAAATAAATAATAAACTTCTTTAGTGTAACGCTTATAACAAATATTTATGTGAAATCTGCGCCTGGTTTTTTGGAAAATAAATTGTGAATTCGAGCTCTGATTTTCGATATACATACGCGGATTTCATCTACCACAGAAAGGAGAGGATTTATAGCCTTACTCTTAATACTTGCTAAACAAGAGAAAGCTTATTTATACGTCTACAATGTTCGAAACTGCAGCAATATATTAATTGCTTTCTTATGAATTGTTGGACATAACACTTTCAATGGAGACTCAAAATCGCTCCAAAACATATCGTTAAATCTCAAGTTTCTATGAACTATTCGATTGCAAGTCACGAAGTTCTTGTTTTAAATGATGGGCAGAAGTGCGAGAGAAGGAATTTATCACCCAATTGAATTAACAGGGATGGAAAATTATAATCAGTTTCCTTCGCCAGTTTTTTTAGCTGGGTCACAATAAAACTTGAAATTTCGTGGTATCCAACTTCACTTTTTAGTCCCGCTAGTAATTCAGACATATAAAGATTTCCTTTTACAACATATTTCCATAAGTTTAATTTACCTTTAAATTTAAGAACCTTGTCACTTGAAAGTTAGTACATTTTCTTCGCCGCCTTGCAGTAACTTTTTAGTTGATCAGCTCGCATTTGTATCCATTTCATCTTCAAATCATTTAGTATAATCTTGTTTCTAGTTTGGTTGAAAATGTGCATGCATAGCACAAACACGCTATTAAAAAAACTCCTCTACTTAATCACTTGATTACAGAGTATAATAACACATTTGTGCGCTCGTTATCAACTTTTAAAAATTCTGGAGTTAAGTGGCTTTCATCTAATGAAGTTTATACCATTTTTATAACCTCGCCAAGTATCTTTTGTAGTTTGTTACCAAGAGATTTTGACATCAAACATTTTTCAGAATAAAACAGTGTATGGAAACAAGGTAGGCGTTTTTTCCTTCGCAATAGTGTCAAAGCGTTTTATGGAGCCAACCATGGAGACAGAACCATCCATACGAACATCAAAACAATCCTTCTAAGAAAGATCTTTTATTACAAAAATGGAGATCAAATATTAAATATATATACATGTAATGTTTTCAGTTATTCCAACACATCGTGGGCGAATGGTGAGGCTATTCCATTACACGTTCTGACAGATGGTTGACGAAGCTGGGATGATTGAAGCACGGAGAAAAATGACGACTCAGGACTTTTCACTTTTAACAGCAACATATCTTTATTTTAATTTAGAACAGATGACTTTTTCCAGATGGAGTTAATCAAATAACTTATTCAGTAATTGAACTATTAGATGCGATTGACTTTAAACTTTCATACGTCATAACGTTATAACAAAGAAAGAGGAGCATAGCGGAAGTGTTAGCAGGACGAAGGCGAGAAGGCATCTGTGTAGGAGAACTTATGACGCAGCATTAATATGAGGAGGTTATGTAATAGGTAGTAACTGCTAATTTGGCAAATCTTTTGGCCACTGGTGAAGAATATTAAACACCAGTTTGCTCAAGTGATAAACCAATATGATGGAAGTGTTAGCAGGACGAAGGCGAGAAGGCATTTGTGTAGGAGAACTTATGACGCAGCATTTATATGAGGAGGTTATGTAATAGGTGCGAATGTTCTAGAAGGTACTGGGTTAGGGGACGATCCTGAATTGCAGAAAATTAATTAAAGATTGCTGGTTCGCAAAGAGCAAAACCATCGTATTTTTTTTATATTTTACATACATATATACTCCTTTGCTTATCTCAGTAAATTTTACAACAGGGGAACTGAATTTATCTCTAATTAACAAGTCGTACAAATGCTAGAACATAACATTAAAGTTGATGACTCGTCCACTCGAATCGAAAAATTGCCGTTTTTCAGTTTATCACACAGAACCCCTTCAACATCGTGTGACATGTCATTGATCCGTCGATTAGTTGTATTATTCGAAAGCGGAATGTTTTCAATTTCTCTTACTGCATCTTCTCCCAATATTTTACCCACTATAATTTTATATGCGGGCATTTTCAGATTCTTACCAACTGTGTGAACCAACTGTGTTTTTTCTTTTTTATACAATAAGCTTTGCTGCCAAATAAATTTCTTACTGAGCCTTTTTTGCTAATTGTGAATGAGTTTGCAAAGCTGTAGTCTGTTTATTTTGAGATTTTTAAAATAATCAAAAGTTTTATTTTTTATATTAGTTTGATTTGTTGTCAAACGTCTGTTCAATTTTGTTTCGAAAGTTTTTTACCGCAAACAAGACACAATGGAAGAGGACATTTTAGGTCACCAATTCATGCAAAACCCTTAATAAATAACTTTCATTGTAACGACCAACCTTTTTTACATTTCTGTGTCAATCTATTGAAAGTTTGTATGAGATTCTAAATCTTTAGTTCTTTCAGAATTATCTGGATTGTTTGTCTTCAAGTATTACCACATTCTAATTGTTAAAATCTATACAGGAATTAAAAAATAAGAAACACAACTGAATAAAGTACTAATAAAAATATGTTCGCAATCAAATAATGCACACACCCGTGGCAATTAAAAGGCTGCCTTTGGCTATTCGGTTGTGTTTGGTTATATTCGTATTGTATGCTTAGTCTTGCAATGCTAGTGTATGTACAGTGCAACGAAAATTGATAAGGGTTAAGTTAATCACTTTTCATTAAAAAACTATAATTTTTCTTTTTTTACAACTGAATTGGTAAGGCAAGCAGCAAAGAAATTCCTGCAACTGGTTGACGACGTCTGACGAGTCTAACCGAGCATAGCCGAACAGACAAAAGCAGCTTTTCGTTTATCATCGGCTAGAATCTTGTCACAGTCACATGAGCTTTTCCCGCCGGTGTTACTCGAGTACAATACCGAATCGGAGAGGAAAAAGTATTCGCTTTTATGACGTACGTGTTATTTCTCTATTTATCGCAGAACCCTTAATAATGCTTCACGGAAACCTTAATAATGCTTCACGGAACCCTTAATAATGCTTCACGGAACCCTGTTTGGAAACGCTGCATTAGGCAGTCCGATCTCCTTATCTATCGCTAATCGAACATTTGTAGAGCATGACTGGATGTCGATTGAATACCTTCTCTTCCCCACGGAAGGAAGATTTATGGGCTCACATTAATAACATGTAGTGTTAACATAGACATGATTTGCACATTCACTGAGTCGATCAAAGGCGAAATGGAGTCGTCATATCTTATTGATTCGCTGTATATTTAAGTGTTTATTGTTGTGTATCGTTGTTGCGCTTTGAAAATAAAATCTTTTGTTAAATGGTTAATTATCTATTTGACTGCAGTATACCGCGAAATATTTTGAAAATAGTGTTTGAAGATCCATTGTGTATTTTGTAGTAAAAGTAGGGTACAAAAATGTTAAAAATTTTATTCAATTATTGATTTTTCTATGTGACAGAGAAACATATTAATTTAAACACATAGCAGATAAATAATTAATTAATAGATTAAAATAGGGAAAAATATGATAAATAGAAATAGAAAATTTGCAATAGTGTATATTCTACATAAACTCTATATATTTCGAATGAAATTTTAAAAAGTTCCTTTTTCTCTCTGGGAGTGAAACAGTTTTGTAGTGGAAGTGGAATGCACAGCCAAATATAAAAGTGGCACCACCAAGGGTTGAACATATTGTTATTTCGACCCGTATTCGAAATCAATGGTATGGCCTTGCTGCATATTTGTTTTTCTTCTTCTTCCCCCCATGTGTATCGAAAATATAAGGTTGTTTATATATAGTCTGATAGCCGTGCGGAATAAATGACGACATGATGCTAATATTATCTATTAAGAACAGCAAATCAAGAGAAATGTAATCGGAACCAATCTATTTGAATATCGAAATCGTTTCAGAAATTGTTTTGGAATTAAAGTCATTAACTGAAACGGGTAATATCTATTGACAGTATTGTGTGTCACATACTAGCATTCTTCATATCGAGTTTTTCATAATAAAGGAACTCATTATTTTTAGAAATATATGTAATAACTTATTGATTGGAAGAAAATTTGCATAAAATTTTTTATTTTAAATATTTTCATCAACCATCCATTCAAGAGAAATTTTACTGAAAATTGTTTGAAACATGCTGTATGATGCGGCAATTTATAACTTAAACTTAAATAACTCATTTTGCCATTCTTGTTTTAAAATAATTTGATTATGAAATGGATCAAAATGACGCGAAGTAGTTCGACTTCAAGAATTTACTGTACACAAAACTTTGAGAATCTTACACGTCTGGTGTGAAAATTTAAAGCTATGGCAAAGACGTTATTTAGAATCATGTAGAAAAATATATAATACTCATAAGAGAAAAAACAGTTTTGTAAACTCTTTTTTTGTATGCAATTTGTTGCTTTGTCATTAATAATAGATTTACTCTTTTAGAATTTTCCAGACTAATCAGATAACCATAACAACACTTGAATTTTTATTGTTGAAATATAAAGTTAATCGTTACTGCGATAACAAATTCATATTTTTTTTTTCTTTTTCAGGGCGAGTAAAGCGAAAAACGACAAAGTAACGAAAGATAACAAACCTGGCTCTAGTTCGTCCACCTCTATTTTACAAGCCCTCGTTGGAAATGAGGTACATTATTTTTTTATGTTTTACACTGTTTTTAGTTTATTTGTCAGTTTCCATCAGAAGTAGTCAGGTTGTTAATATTGCTATTAGTTAACTATACATATATACATAGCATGCATTTTGCTGAAAATTCCAAGCGAATGCTATTGTTGACATTAGAAATTTCAGTACGAATAAACAGGAAGAGCTTTAGCTTTATTTAGTTGTACGTTTTGGCTGTTTTTTATTTGTTTTAATAACTCAAATTAACTGTTTTGTCTAAGAAAAATACTTTTGCACAAGAACTAATTATTTGTACTCTTATATAATAAGAAAAGAGAGAAAAATATAGTAAAGTATTAATTAACAGCTTTTTTAGCTTACAAACGCAAAATCTGAAAAAATAGAGGGTTAAAATAATTACTGTTTACAAATTATTATAAAAGGTCTAAGTTTTTTCAGATGACTTTAAATACCTTTAATGATAGCTCTTCTTGAGTTTAAAACACTCATTGTTATCTATTTAAAAAAAAATTACTGTATTTTACAGAGCTGGATGCATGTTCAGAATAATGCTTTCTCAAATTCATCCTTTCAAATCATGTGAAATACAGCGATTTCCTGTAGATGCCTAGAAAGCTTTTTTAGGTCTGACTAAAGATAGTTTCTATACATAACAACAAATATGTGTTTTTTAAACGCAGTAAGAAATGTTTCTAGAAATGAGTATCCGAAAGTAAGAGTTAAATTATCTCAGACGTCAGCGACCTCTTTTGGCTAGGGGTCAAATCAATCATATTGTCTGAATTAAGATGTTTTGGGTCATTGGTATTTCTATTTTAAAATAATCTTTCACAGTGAAAATTAAGCATAATTTTATTGAAAAAATAATTGCATTACTTTTAAACTTAGAGACATAAAAAAGAAATAAAAAACATAAAAATTAATATTTTAATTTTAATTACTATAAAAACAAACGTAACTAAACAAACTTTTTTTCAGAAATTATGGAATCACAAAAACATAGTTATTAATAATATATATCAAATATATTTTTTCTCAGACACCTGGTCAGAAACTGGTAAACTGCTAACTGGGTAAAGTTTAAAATGTTTTGGTCACCGGTAGCATACAGAGAAAGGCGATAATGTAGTCTTAACTTAGGGATATAATTGGTTTATGTACATGTAGTCAGAACAGAAATGTCGGCAATACATTCTTATCTGAAATCATTTTTCGTAAAACGATCTCAGGCAATCATTCTGTAGCCGTAACTGGAAATACGCTATGAAACTATTTTATGAACTTCCCAACTGAAAGAGAAGGAAGTGACGGAGTAATTTTTTTCCCTGATAAAGCGATTTTCTAGAATTCTGCTTTCAGAGAATCTTGGTCCAATCACCAACTGCAGACCGTTAGAGCAAGACGCTTGTCGATAGCCCATCTTTTCATTCAATTGGCGAAATTTTTTAACCTTTTTCATGGTATTTTTGTTGCATTATGGCAATAGTTGCGATAACTTCGGTTATGACAGTGCCGTAAAATGGCAGAAAGAATAAAATACATGAGTACGAAGAGAATGAAAGATAAGAGGAAAATCCTGATTTTTATGACTTGAGCAGAATATGGGAAATGATGTGGTACAAATGGGCATGAAAGTTGAGACAGCCGATAATGTAAGCTTCCTGACATTAAGACGATAAATTTGCTTTTCCGGCTCCAAGCAGTCAGCCATTTGTTGGAAAAGCAATGACTTGTTTTGATATTTCAAGAATGGTTATTGTTGCTGAGTGTTTAAACAGAGAATCTTTAAAAATGTGGTATCATGTATTTTAAATGTCTGAGTTTAAATATAATATATAACTGGCAATCACGTAATTTGAAATTTAATACAGTTTGTAAATTTGAAAACAAAAATTTAATGTTATGATATATTTTACCATTGGATGTACTGCAAATGATATATTGTACCATTGATATATTTTCATTTTATTTATGCCATTGCATATCTCATTCATTTACATCATTGCATTGTTGAAAATTTTGTTATGGGAAAAATCATTTAGAATCTGTCCTTCAAAAATTTGTATAGATTTAAATTTATATTCACAGTGTGTAAGTAAGCCGTCATTCATTATGTAATAAGTATCTTAACATAAAAACAATTGTGCAATTTTGATATGAAACTAGAAAGGAGAAATATGCTCGATCGCATAAAGCATGCAATTCGTGAAACGTTTCTACGTGAATTTTGAATTCCAACTTTAGAATGAAGGCGAAATTAATTTAATAGGGAACTGAAAAATTTAAAAGAAATTATTTATCTCACCATAAAGATATTTACAAGCTTTCGTTAGATTCTAAAAATATTTTAGTGCTACAGGTGATCAGAAAAACCACAGAGAAAATAATTATGGTTTTAGCTGTTATAATATTTTTATTTGCATAAATAAAATGAAAATATATCAATTTAATATTGAAAAGTATCCGATGTGTTAGAAAAATAACACCACCTATAACATTTATACTTAAAAAATAACTTATATATATACTATTTATACGTAACTTACGTGCACATGTAAAGTTACATATACTCTCTAAGTGATACACTTACATTACGTAATGCGTTTATTCACATTACTAATAATGGTGTCATGGCATTCAACTGACATTTTTGCACTGAATATTCTGCAGTTGCGTATCTGGTATTAGCTCACATAAATGAGTATCACAACAGTTACCATGCGGAAAATTGCACCAATCAATATAGATTGTTATTTTTATTTATATTTAGGCTGCTTAAAAATATTATGACTCAGTTTCTTTAATTGTGTTAAAATTGCTATGGCAAAATCATGAAACAATTTTCTTCTACCTAAAGAAATTGATCAAAATTGCATTAACTAAACTTGTGCAGTCTCTTTCTAATGAAAGCATAGTGCAAAGTTTTCAATGGGCGGTTGAAGAAGGCAAACCACTTGAGATGGCAAAATAAATTTAGGGCCCTTAATGAACATTTCTGTAACTTTTACTGATAGAGGACAACACATATTTCATATTTTAATGTCACTATAATACTGCAACTAATTCTAAGATTGAGTAGATAAAATATAGCCTGAAAATTCTCGATACTCAACCGATATTTTGGGTGAATCTTTTTACATTATGGTAACTTGGCGACTTTTTGGCGAACATTTGGCGACCAACCCTGCTACAGCAACCTGCTAGTTTTGTTTTGAACGCCATTTTGTTTTCACAAAGTAAAGAATTTTTTTTTTTTTTTTTTTTTTTAGTCAATATTTTTTCCAACAATCTGCTAGCGGAATTACGCTTACACTAGAACTTTTATGGAACAAAAATGCTTAGTCATGACGAAGATTAGGTGCGAAATTGGGAGAAAGTGCACAATCGCAAACTGCTTGCCGCGTTTATAAGAATTGCACATACAAGGTATCCATGTACACGTCGACCTATTTTCACTTAAAAAAACATCCCAGAATTCCACAAAAATGGCATTGCGCACACTTTATCTATGTACACATCTGGACTTTATCTATGTACTTATCTATGTATCTGGACTTTATCTATGTACACATCGACCTATTTTCACTTAAAAAGTCAAAAAAAATTGAGAAAAATCCAATTCTTACTCTTGTAAAAAGCGCCCAACAAATAAGTGGGCGATTCTGCACTTAGCAGCGAAATTGTTTCTAAATGCTTATTAGCTAAAATCACGATCGGAATTTTCCGGAAAATATGTCTCATGATCTCTCATTTCTCTGAGACAAAATAATCTGTGATTCGAACTCTGTACTTCTCAGATTATTGCTAAAATCCTAGCTAGTAACCTTTATCGTCTTACGAAAATGTCGCCAAAATACCTGTTACCATATTTTAAAGATTAGCCATATTTTGTTGTATAATCGAATATCAGAGCTATAAATCTAATCTAGCGTATTGCGTAACATTATTTATTGAATTCAAGACATGTTTTGTACTGTAAAAAAATTACTTTTTATATCCAGTGGAGATCTAACATTGTCCAGGTGGATAAGTGCGCGAATTATTTGGTTGTTATATTTCAGGCTATTTACTTCAGCTTGCTGCATGATATTTCCCAATGTTATATAAGTGCTAGTTAATCTGTCTAAAAACGTCTATCACAAAATTATCCGAATCCCTTTAAGAAGCTAGTCCTAATATAACTTAAGTAGGTGATCTTTTACTCTTGCATTAGTTTTTTTTTTTTTTTTTTTTTTAATATTTGTTAAATTCTTTCTGTTGTTCTTAATTTGTTCAAAATACACAACTTCCTTTAAATATCCATCCTGGAAGGGAGTGTAAATAATGGATTTAGCTTGTTTTATAGTGTTGTGGGGAATTCAACGACCAGTGTTGAATAATCTCTATTGTGAAATTGTCAATATTGATAATGATCCTCTTTTCGTGCCCACAGTGCTGTTGGCAGTACTTAATGCTTCTCTATTTTGAAATGTCTTCTGAAATATTAGGCCCACCAGCGGCCGAGCGGTAAAGTCGCTAAACACTGGTAGTTCAGTCCGAGGGTTCGAATCCCGCGAACGGGCTGGCTGCATGGGCGTTTTCGTGGTTTTCCCCATGTGTAACGTGTATGCGAGCCAGTTTCCCTTAGAAAGTCCTCCACGAAGGCATCCCTTTCCTTAGGCAGATAGCCCTCGAGGCTTTGCCATAATCACACACACACATTCTGAAATATTAAGGAGGGGCGGTCACTACAGTAACTGTCCCTCGTGCTCGAACAGGGAAGAATTTAGTAGAACATTTAGTTTGCTTTTCGTAAGTAATGGCTGCTGAAGCAGGGAGTTTGGAAATCGTTTTTCAGTTTTGTAAACTTGTTTGTCCCTTAATCTACGTTTAGTTCCATGTGTTCTGTTATTATATTATTCTTATCTAATTTCGTAAATTACTTTAACATTTTGGGGTTTTTTTATTTTTAAATTAAATTTTGATAGATATATTATTTTTAATGCTTCTGTGAAAATTTA